TGAGAGACAGCCTTAGTTAAACCGTTAACATATTATATCAGAATATACACATTTCAATTAATTATATGAGAAATGAGCAGTTTGTGTGAGCCAATAAATCAAAAAGGAGCATGTTTGTCCTAAACTGAGCGACGGAGTACTGACGATCATTTATTTATGAAAAAGCTTCAGAATAAATTTGTAATGTTGGAAGGCTATCAGTATTTACAATAAACGGAAAAATAAATATTTACGTTTGTCAGAATACTTAAGTAGAAGAAATTAAGGAAACCAAACGAAAACAGCAGTAACATTTTTTCAAAATGATGCTATTTTGGTATCAAAGAATTTTCCCCCATATTTCCTTTTGAGACCACATGAACATTTTCACATAAATAATCATAGAAGGTGGCGGTCCACGGAATGTGATTGACATTTTCGCACATTTAAACATCAGTGCCTGTAGTCTAGCGTCCCGAGGCGTACGTACCTTTAAGTACGGATTACTTTGCATTTTTTTCGTCAGCGGTTCAGATACCATCCATATCCGACAATGTTTTCTTTTCTTTTTTTTCTCTGTTGAATTATTTTATTGTGACCTATTTCAAAATCAACTCGTATGCATATTTATTAGTTTATAGCATTTGGTGTTTATATTTTTTGAAGAAATTGGTGTAATTTCTTGCACATAGCCGCTGTTCAATAGCCCTAGGCGGTATTGCCGCTTACCATGCTAGCGGCGACAAATATACGTTCAATTGTAAAAATTATAATATTGCGATGTGATCCTGAGTAGTTTGTGTGAACCAGTAATAAAAAAGGAGCATTTTTGTTCAAAATTGATGTTTATTTATTTATAAAAATAAATTTAAATAAAACTCTTATCTATAAAATGCTTTATTTTCTCCCTAAAATTTATAACATTATTTCATCTCATTTATATTATATATATGTATAGGTATATATATATACATATATAGGTATATATATATGTATGCGTATCCATTTATGTGTTTATTTATATGAATATATTATACATATATAACTTGAGACGTGGTCATTGCCGTCTAGACCAGTTGGGTGAAAAATAAAGCTTCCGCATTTTGTTGGGTACTTCGACAAAATTTAAGCAAAGAGGACTCTTTATACTTTATGAATCTCTACCTTTCAATGGACTTTGCCATCTTCATCAGGAGCTGCAATAACATTGAGAAAAAATAGCATCTATTATGCAAAATGAATTTTAAACTAACTTACAGTAGTATGTGCGGATGTTGCTAAATGTTATGAACGTTATATATATATACATATATATATATATATATATAATGAGGTAACATAGGGCGTATAGATTTGAAACTGGTAAAGCCAATGATCAGTGCTGTGTATTTACCGACCTATTGTAAGCATAAATACAAAATCGTGAAAACGTAATCTAATACTTTGTACTCATAATTATCATTTTATATTAAATATCATTCAAATTGGTGCAAAAGTTGCAAAATTGTTAACTATGACCCTATGATAGCAAAATCCGAATATTATCCAGAAGCTAATTATTGTAAATCTGTTATTCTAATCAGGTCTAGCCTTCGGATAATGGGTATCGCCACTGATGCGCCTTTCGGATTTATTAAACAAAAACCAGTTTTAATCCTTGCATGATGGATGGCCCCACTTGTTCCGTTATTCGGATGTGTGGAACAAATTATACCAATTTCTTCAAAAAATCTAAACACCAAATGCTATAAACTAATAAATAGTCACACCAGTTGATTTTGAAATAGGTCAGAATAACATTACTCAAATAGAAACAAAAAAAAAAAGAAAAAATTGTCGGGTACGGATGAGATTTGAACCGCTAAAATGCAATAGAAACGCGTGATTAACGGTCAAAGAAATGTTACACTGCTGGAAAATGTGAAGCGGTAAAGAGATGTTTTCGTCTGGTTCCTTCATTTCTTCTATAAAAATATATAAAAAATATTTTGATACCAAAATAGCATCATTTTTAAGAGATGTTACTGCTTTTTTCGTCTGGTTTCCTTAATTTCTTCTACTTGAGTATTCAAACAAACGTAAATATTGTTCCGTTTATTGTAAATACTGCTAGCCTTCCACCATTGCAAAATTTATTCTGAAGCTTTTTCGTAAATAAATAATCAATACTACGTCGCCTCGTTTTTATGATTGCAACGCATATGTATTTGCGGCAGCAAGCTTGGTACGCGGAATACCGCCTAGGACTACTAATTGCGGAATGCTGAAACCTGTTTCATCGTTGTACTGAGGGAATTTATATTCGACATTCTCCGCCGAAATGGCGGCCGTTTTTGACACTGACAGGAGAGTTTCACAGGTGATTGTTATATAAGCTGTGCCCTGGCATCATCAACCACTTACAACTATACAGAGAAATCCATATACCACTGACGACATAATGTATCCGAGAGAGAGAGAGAGAGAGAGAGAGAGAGAGAGAGAGAGAGAGAGAGAGAGAAGCCGAGAAGCGTGCAATACGTATGTTACAAAGGTATAGAAGCACCACCTTGCCAAGCAACCTGAGAGGCTTGCCGCGCTGCCATTGGCGCACTCTTTCTAACATTCGTCTTGCACGATCCTCGAGTTACTCTCTCGTACACATTACCTCATCAGTGATATTTGTATTTCTCTGTATACGTCCTGACCAAAGTCTTGTTGTGCCAGTGCTGCCACCTCTCGGATTATTCCCGCTCCATAGCTCTTCACAGTAGCGCCTTGGTAAGCTGGAGAAATTTCTCATAATAGTGAACCGTACTACGTCTCACGCTATCTTTGAACAGCTGAAGAGAGGATCTGGGTCCTCGGAGTTTTCGTCCCTGGAGTTGACTCAAATTTGAAGTTGATACTATCAAGCAAGTTTTTGCATTGAATTATTCAAGAATATGTTTTTTAAACTTGCACCATTTTTTCTTGCTTTATGTTGAGGCTTGATTGTTTTTTAAAAATCCAAAGTTCGCAATTTTTGATATTTTTGTCCAAAATTCACCCGTTATCGAATATTTATTATATTTATATGAGACCATGGTCAAAACAAATTCTACAAACACACTAAGATACAAAACATAGATAAAAATAAGTGTTGCTCCACTGCGCATACATTAAAAACGAAAGTTAGTGCCTCATTAATAATAATAATTCTGTACTGATATGACTCAACTTTTATTTTCATATATTTCTTGTGTTTTATTATAGCTGTGAAGTGTAAAGTGTTGCAACCGTGCGCTCATGGACAAAATTCCAAAATTGTGAATTCTTGACATCTTAAAAGATAAAAATGTACAAAAATAAATATGTAATTTCAAGATACATATTTAAAAACCAAACCTTTTTTATCATTACAGAAAAAATATCACATACTGTGAAAATATATGTATATAACATCAGATAAACAAGGAGGTAAGTCACAAAGGCAAAGCCTTGAGCGTGGCATAAAAGAAACAAATAATTATCGTTGTGGAATACCCCATAGAGATAACAGGTAAGAAATTGAATAAATATTCTTACGTAACGCTTTCATCCACGCTTTTCATTTTTTAGATAATCTGGAGTCTTGAAGTTTTCATATATCTAAAGTCAGCTATGACATCCGATAAATATATTTTTATTTGGTGTTGGCATTGTAGTTTTTCGGATGGTTTGCTTCGAGAATAATAATAATGCTCTAAATATGTAATAATAGGCTTATCATCAGGAAACATTAGTATAATTTCATAGTAATACAATCGATGAATATCCAAGAAACTTGCAATGTTGGACAACTCATTCGTCGGACACGAGATGGACTTATTGTATTATATCTTCTTCAGAATCATTTTTTGTGATCGATGTAATTGTGCAATGTATACACTTTATGGTGTACCCACTCTGCTTTAGCGTATGAGATATATCTTTTAATAAGTAATCTGTATATTATTTTAATTCAAGGTAAGGATAGTATTACTAAGAGTTATGATTTTATGTAGTCGATATTTTAATCTTTTTATGACAAAATTTATGTGAATATTCCACTTTAGGTGTGGTTCTATGGAGGTCCCAAGATATTTTATTGATAAATTTTGTTCAATTGTTATGTTCATAGGCTGACTTTGGATTATAAGCTTACTATAGTTTTATAATGATGAGCGTTACGACGTAAATGACATATAGTAACATTTTACAATTCGTTAACAGTTTATTATCGAAACATTTCGGTACATATGGAACACCTTTTAAATGAAGTTTTTAGACTTGATGAAGACTTTGAGTAATAAATTAATGCTATTTCATGCGCACAGGTAAATTATCTAGCTCTTTGTTTCAATTTGGAACAAATCGTTCGGGACATCATATTTGAGATAGTTTGTTTGACTAGTGTCTATTTGACCATCCTGAGTCATTTCACTCGAAAAATCTGCTAGTAGTGATTGTGATTTTACATGAAATCCTATTCTTTCTAATGATTGAATCATCATTTCTTGATCTACCGTATCGAAAGCCTTGGTCAAATCTATGAAGATTCTTAAGCATGGAACTTTTTTATGGAATCACAGACACGCTATACCAGTAGGTGTATAGCATTGTGTGTAGACATATTATGTCTTCTGAGACCGAACTGCTTACCTAAGAGAATTTTGTATTTATGTATAAACGATATCATTTGTTCTTATAACAATATCCCAACTACTTAAAATATACAGTATATAAGATATATTGGTCTATAATTTTTCATTAAACATCTTTCACCGGATGTATGTATAGGTATATATATTGGCTTTTTGAATGAATTGTAACATTTTCCTTTGTCAAATATAAGACTAATTAGATAGCAGTGGGCAGCAATTTCATGAGAAATTATTTAGTTCCTGCTCTTATTCCATCCCACTGCTGATTTTCTATTTTTAAAAATTATTATCGTATTGTAAACGGTAGTATTTGTTCTTTCAGTAAGAATTCATTTGGAACTTTTATCACAGAAAATGTTTTGTTTTGTCTTAATCGGTCTTAAATCATTAGATTTAGAAATAACTTTTTAAAAAAATTTTATTTGAGGACTGAAGCTTCAGTCCATATAAAATACAAAAGGTTTACAAATGTGACATTTACGGAGTCTAACCTGGTATTGAACATAAAATACATAAAATAGATAAATACGTGAAAATCGACAATATATAGAGTAAATGCGCAAAAATGCAAATAAAAAGTTGTAAAAATCACACACACAGAGATAAATCGCAAAAAATAGCTAGATTAAAATTGTACGTTACCAAGGGTACATCGGGAGGCAGTCGTGTTCTCCAGGCGGCTAGTGGATCTCTTGCGATGTTTCCAGTAGTCTGTCTGCAGTTGGGTGGCTGCTGCTCGCTGTGTCCCCTGTTGTTTTCTTTCTTCTTGTTGCTTTGTAGTTTCTTACTTGTAGTTTTCCTACTTGTAGGTTTCTTTCTTCTTAAGGCTCGTTGGTCCTTTTCAGCTTAAAGGATAGGCATCCACCACACTAGTTAGTATGCACGTGTTCTAATGCGTTGAAGCTATCCCACTTCTCTGACACCAATTTCTTAAAGCATTAGATTTAGAAATAACTTTTTAAAAAAATTTTATTTGAGGACTGAAGCTTCAGTCCATATAAAATACAAAAGGTTTACAAATGTGACATTTACGGAGTCTAACCTGGTATTGAACATAAAGTTTACATAAGTGACTGTTACGGTGCCTAGCCGGGTAATGAACGACATGAAATGGGCGCAAGGCCTATTTATACTATTGGTGTGCTTACAAAGCACTTCTAGAAAATAAAGCGTAAACAACGTGTTAGCGAGAAGTCGTTATCTGTTGCTGAGCTAGCGTCTGGTGCAACATTGTATGGAATAGTAAGTCCATTGTTTTGAGTGCATATAACAACTTCCCCCTATTACAAAAAGTTGTTGCCATGCGACAACTTTTGATAAAATTAGAAAAGTGTAAAAGATGTAAAAATTCAAAAATGTAAAAATGTAGAAATGTAAATTGTAAACATTGTAAAATATAAAAATATAAAAGTAGGAGTAATAAAATTGCAAAATAACATCAGAAAATATAGATTCTGAAAAATAAAATTGTTAGCATAAATGGGTACATTGGCGATGCTAAATAACATCTAAAAGCAAAGCTGGAACAAACAAATAATAAGATACAATCGTACAGTCGTACGGGCAAAATCACATGGTAGATAACACGAAAATTGGAAATGTCTTTTTGAACAGTGAAAACACTTCACGGAACACTCACTGCAGTTCGATGTCTTCTTCATGTGGCTGGATGGTTGGTCTACGTCGAGGAAAAAGTCTGGGAATGTACCGGACTTTTGGTGCTCCTGGAGATGGGCCATCGGCTGGATAATTTGATGCGCGGATGCTGAGTGGTCTTCGTTTTCTGCACTTGCAGAACAGGTACAAAGCTACGATGATAACTAGGGTGATGATAAAATACGTGAACCATGAGAGATGTCTCGAAACAAACGGCTCGTTCATAATTTTGTCCAGTTGTTCAGAATATTGGTTCAATTTGTGATTGGCAATTTCGAGTTCCTCAGTATCGATCTTGCTTAGCTTGATCGGTTTTAATTTTGGTAAATTTTGTTTCTCTGGGAGATGTTCACAGCATTTGTAGGGTACTTTTACAGGGTGACTTTTGTATGTGATATTCTTGTAGGTGCTAACAGAGTATCTAGAATGTAATCTCGTGGTGCCTACAAAGCCACTGCATTCGGGCTGCATTTTTAAAAGTGAATTAACTTTTATTACTTTGGTGGTAGTCTCTCGTTGTCCACACTTCATCGTAATTGGCAGAGGGCTAGATATGGTGATTAGCCAAAAATTGGTTGCAAGTTCTTGGATTTTGTAATCTTGCAATGCCACAATTGCTATTTGGCAGGCTGTCGGCAGATCGACCGGATTTCGCAACAACTGTGCTTCGCAGACTGCATTACTGTCTATTAGATACGGCAAGAGGTTGAAACAGATTTTCACCTGAGACTGAAGAACTTTACAACTACCTAGGTTTTGAAAGGAAACGTACAAAAGAGAATCGCTATCTTTAGCAATGTACCTCTGTATAGTGGAGACTACATGAAACAAACCAGTACGTTTATCGAGAGTGGGTAGAGGAATCACTCTGTATAAAGTATACATTTCGGGCTCTAATAACGGGATGCGTAGAACGAATACTACTCTTGTTTTAGTTTGATATGCTTCGAGTTCCATAAGGTTAAGGTACTCTGACACTGTTGCTAAATTAACCGGAAGGGGTAAATTATTTCTCGACAAAGTGTGAGAAATTTCTTGAAGAGAATTTACTAAGTCTTGAGGAGTGATAATAGAAGTATGTATTATTTTTAAACGTGCAAAAGTAATTGAATTTAGAATATCATTAATTGTCTCTTCCAGAAACATGTAGCTTTCCATTAATTGTTCGCAAACTTCTAAAAATTGGAATTTAGCTTCATAAAATGCAAGATCGTCTGAAATTTCATAAATTTTGTTTTCAATGACTTTAATATCTTCATTAAACGTAGTTTCATCAATCATAAGTTTTTGAATAGTGTTATTAAAATTCTTGATAACCGACATGGTAACAGAAATTTGGTTCTTCATGAGGTTTTCGAGCTCATGTTCATCTTTAGAAATTTTGTTAATACAATCGTTATAGTATTCACCGTCCGATGAATCGAGGTTGCCGGTTATTGCTTTCCATACAGTACCTATAGCGTTAATCAGACCGCGTTTCATCCGCGATGCGCTTACAGTGTCATCGAAGATTGCGTAATATTTAGATTCCAAGGAACGAGAAATTTGATAAAGGAGACTTGTATGAGTTTTAATTTCACCACTAAACATTTTCATACGATTGGTGGGTTTGTCTACGAGATATGATAAGTGTTCCAGAATATTGTTGTTATCGTCAAGTGCTTTCTTAATGAGTTCTAAGTCTTTATATACAAGGAGTGTCCAAATGTCGTTGGAAATCTTAAGAGGGGCGTCTTCATGAAAATAGATACCTAAGGTGTTGTTAAGCGGTTTGATGTCTATCTGGGCTGTGACAGCCGCAAGAAACAGCAGACTGCACCTGAAAGAGAAACTAAGTCTCAAAACATAGTTTCAGTATGTCAAAATTAACTTTACTTATTCTATTTGTTTCCGGGTTCTTAAGGAGCGCAGAATTTTCAAAAACTTGAGTAATTTCGAATGGACCATCAGATTTGTTCTGAAGTCTGTTTGAAATTTGAGACTGTTTCACAAATACTTTATCGCCAATTTTATATGATTGTAAATTGGGTGACACTCTACTATCAAAGCGAATTTTTGCTTTTTGCTTCTGTTCGTCAGTTCTCACGCGGGCAATTTTGTAGTAATATTCGAGTTTATTCCGAATGTCTCGAACATACTTGGACATCAATTCTTTTTCTAAATATACGTGTTCGGGCGGACGACCAGAGGTGTGGCCAAACGCGAGCTCGTATGGTGTAAAGCCAGTAGTTTTATTTCTAGTGCTATTGTAGCACTGAACAGCATAGGGAAGAATATTGAAGGGATGTTCGTCGGGATTAGGAGTTTTGGTGACGTTTTGGCAAACGACAAGTTTGATATTATCATCCGAAAAAATAAAATTATTTTTAACGTAGATTTGTTGGGATAGGTCGAATACACCTTTGTTGGTTAAAATTACAGAGAAAAGATACTGTATGCAAGTTACGGGATCGTTTGGCACAGGAATAATATGGTATTTTCTATCTTTAATTGTTTTGCTAGACGCGATGTTAATTTTATCTGCAGAAAAATCAAGATTTTCCTCGAATATGTCTTCGATAATTTTTTCGTGAAGATCAGATAGAGTGTTTTGTCTGAAAAACGTGACGATATGTTTATGACTTTTGTCTAGGAGTTGGGAATTTGAAAATTGGATTTTGGAATAATCGATCAGGGATGTGGTTTTGTAAAGGCGGGCAAAGATATCAAATTCACTTTCGGAAAATTGGGTAGAAGGTTCTCCTTCTTCGTCACTATAGGTAAGGGCGTTAACAGTTTTGGGTAATTTGATACGTGATAGGGCATCGGCATTTTTATTAGCCTTGCCTGGCTTGTACACTATTTCATAGTCGTACTCCTCTAGCTTGAGGCGCCATCTTGCTAATCTACTTCCGGTGTCTCGGCAAGAGAAAAGCCACGTAAGGGGTCTATGGTCTGTTACTTGTTTAAACTTTCGACCATACAAATAAGGTCTAAAATGTTTTACACTCCAGACAATAGCTAGAAGTTCTCTTTCAATGGTGGAATATCTCGTTTCTGCTTTACAAAGTGTACGAGATGCATAGGCTATCGGGAGATCTTTACCTATGGGACCTTGGGAAAGAACGCCAGATATCGCAAAAGCGCTTGCGTCTGTTGTAAGCACAAAAGGCTCTTCAAAGTTGGGGTAGATCAGTATAGGAGATGTTGTTAAAGCATTTTTTAAAGTATCAAATGACTTAACACACTCGCTATCAAAGTCAAATACTGCGTCTTTCTGTAATAGTCTGGTAAGGGGTTTCGCAATTTTGGCAAAGTTTGGTATAAAGCGTCGGTAGTAACCTGCAAGACCTAAGAAAGATTTTATTTCTTTAGGATTCTTGGGTTGAGGGAAATTTTTTATGCAATCCACTTTATCTGGATTGGGCTTAACGCCATCAGGAGTTATTACATGACCAAGATAGGCTACTTCCTTTCTGAGGAATTCGCACTTATCAGGCTGGATTTTGAAATTCGACTTCCGAAGACGCGTAAAAATTTCGGTAAGCCTACTGATGTGTTCTTGGATGGAGGGGGAATAGACAATTATGTCATCCATGTATACAAGACATCTTTCGTTTTGTATACCCATCAAGATGTTGTCCATGACACGTTGAAACGTGGCAGGAGCGTTCTTGAGACCAAAAGGCATCCTCAAGAATTGGTAATGTCCGTTTTCAACTGAAAATGCAGTTTTAGGAACATCAACTGGATTTATCTCGATTTGATGAAATCCAGATGCCAAGTCCAGTGTACTAAAGTACTGGCATTTCCCTAATTGATCAAGTAGATCGGAAATGTTTGGCAGGGGATATTTATCATCGATGGTGATTTCGTTAAGCTTACGATAGTCAATCACCATACGCCATTTCTGTTTACCAGAGGCGTCCATTTTCTTTGGTACAACCCACACCGCAGAATTCCATGGCGATGTGCTAGGTTCGATAATACCTTGTTTTAGTAATTTCGAAATTTGATCTTTGACTTCTTGCTTGTGGACATAAGGGTATCGGTAGGATTTGGTAAAAATTGGTTTACTGGTAGTGGTATCAATGGAATGCTTAATTTCGTTTGTAAATGACAAGCTATCACCATCTAAATAGAATATGTCCGAAAAATCTAAGCAAAGATTCGTAATTAAATCTTTTTCCTCTTCGTTGAGATGATCGAGACGTAATTGATCTCTAATAACATCTCTACGGTTATACTGACTTTGATTTTGTAAAGAAGTGTTGAAATTATTGATAGAAGTTTCGTTAAAGGGCTCGAAAGTTAATTGGGGTAAACTTACATTTTTTTGAATGGCATTACAGTTTAATACTGTAGTAAGGAATTCGCCTTTAGAATCAATTTTAACTATGGAACTGGGTAGACGGACTTTTTCTACCTCACACGCCAGAAGAATGGCTTCAGTATTTCTAAGCTCGGATTTGAGCTTGACAACTTGTTCAACTCTGGGAGGAATGGAAATAACATTTTGAACTTGAGAATTTTCTTTAAATTGAGAAGCTTTGGAATTATTTTCGTCACCTACTTTGAAAAGAGGGACTGTTTTGAAATTTGTAATCAATTGACGATTTTTCAAATCAATAATACAATCATAATGTTCAAGAAAATCTGACCCAAGAAGGCCATCGAATGAAATATCTAGATCATGGACATACATTTTGTGATAATCATTGGGAGCAAATGGGACTAAGACTGCTTCAGTAATACTAATTTTTTCGTCAGTAATACCTCGGATAGAGATATTTTCTGCGACACGATTAGTATAATTTTGACAAGTGTTACGTTTGAAAATGGAGCAACCTGCACCACTGTCAATGAGAATTTTGAATTTTCCAGTAGCATCTTTAATGTAATATAAGTTATCTGGGCTAACGGGGTGAATTGTCGACGGGACTATAAACGGAGGGTTTATATGAACATCTGATCGCATGTGTTGCTGACGCTCGCACACGGTTTCGCGTTCGGGTCCTCGACACTGAGATTCGCTAAGTTCGCACATACTATCGCGGTACTGTCGTTGGGTTCCGCAGGGGGTTTCTCTTTCAAACACTTGGTCCGAAAATCCTGGAATTGTTGTATGTCCGAATAAGCGTTGTCAACAAATGTATCGGAGGTTTGATTATATTCGTAACAATAATCGTTACTGGATTCTCTAAAATCATCGTATGGGGAAGGTGTGTAGGCGGAGTACTGGGTATCGTCATATTCATTAGCGTAGTCCGTGTTGTATAGGTCTGGTTCACCGTAGTCGGAATAATCGTAAGAATCAGGGGCGACATAATTAATTCGATTGGGAGGATTTTGTCTAAAATTTCTTTGAAAATTAGGGTTTTGGAAATTTGGATTGCTCTGAATTACAGAGGGTCTTGGCGCACTCGCGTTAGGCGCATTTGGTCGTATTACAGATGGTCTGGGAGGATATTGATTAGAATTTTGATGGTAGTTAGATGTAGATGGTCTAACTTGCATAGGTTGATTCGGCCTAGGGTAATTTTGAGGTTGGGGCTGGTTAAACTGTCTTGGGGCAAAGCTTGTAGGCTGTTGTCTCCGTTGGCATTCATTTGCTAAGTGACCGGGACGATTACAAAAATTACAAATTTTAGGGTTTGGTCTTCGAATAACTGAATTTTGATTCGGGTTTGGGGCCCTGGCGAATTTTTGTCGTTCCAAATATGAAAGTTGTAACTCTCGTTTGATATACGAAACTGCGGTCAAGATATCCGTGGGATGTCCTGATCGCACAACAGGTCCTATTTTTGAGTCTAATCCTGTTAATAGACAATTTAAAGTCATCGTTTCGATGAGGGAACTTTGAGCAGATTTTTGCTCGCGATTTAGATTTTGCCTATTCACGGCGAATGCATTTTGGCTGCATGCGTTTGCAGTCTAGATGCAAAGGTTAGGGGTGATTCGTTGAGGAGTTGGCGCTTGTGTTGAAGATCCGCGATTAAAGATGTGAGATCTCT